GTGCTATTTATTTACACCATTTATGCTCATTAAACTGGGACCCAGACTTACTGTTGCAAATTTTTACTTAAAAAATAGTTATTGTAGAACCACAGAACATCCTGATTTGGAAGGGACCCACAAAGATCATTGAGTCTATCTTCTGGCCCTGCACAGGACACCCTGAGGGCATTATCCAAATGCTTCGTGAGCTCTTTAAGACTAGTGCTGTGATCACTTCCCTGTGAAGCCTGTTCCAGTGCCCAGACACCCTCTGAGATAAGAACCTTTTCTTAATATCCAACCTAAACCTTCCCTGACACAGTTTCAGGCCATTCCTGCAATGAGGTCTCCCCTCAGTCTCCTCCAGGCTGAGCAGTGACCTCAGCCACTCATCCTACAGCTTCACCATCCTTGTAACCCTCCTTTGGATGCTAATACCTTATTGTCTTATTTATATTGTGGCATCCAAAACTGCACACAGGGCCCAAAGTGAGGCCTCACCAGGACAGTGCTCTCTCATAATTATTGTCTCTTGTTGCTAACAATCTGTTGCTTCAAAAAAGGAAAACAAAAGAAAAGGAAATATACCTTACAGTGTCTTCTCTACATAATGTTTTGGTTACTTGGTAGCTGCTACAGCTCTCATTCATTCTTGATGATGTTAGATGTCTTTGTGGTAAGAATGCTAAGCTACATCCCAGTATCTCTTAGGAAGGACAAGTAAGATTCCCTAACAGGTAACCCTTGATATCTGCTGCAATCGGCACCAAAGAGTTGAAATAAAATTAATAAAATAGTAATTTAAAAATAAAAAAGTGTGATACTTATTCGATTAATTTTCCTACTTGAGAAAATATAGTATTGTTTTTTTTGTGTTTGGAGGTTATGTAGGGGGAGCAGCTCCAAGAACAGTCACGAAGGAGCGTTCACTACATATCTGTATCCCTGCTGACTGTGTCACAAGACCCTGAACCCAGCTGAGGAAAAGGTGTTCCAAATGTGTCAGCTCTAAGGAATGCTATGAATATGCAATAACTACTTTAGTTGGCAGGTTCTGTATAGTAAAATTTAATTTTTTTGGCTGAGTAATTCTTTTTGGACTGCCTTCTTTCCCCAGCTCAGTGGTTAATGTGTTGGGTTGAGATCAGGAAACTTGCTATTCCTTTTTTTTTTTTTACTGTTTACATTGTGGTGAGTAACTTTGCCTGCTTTCTCACCAATAACTCAGATTTATAACTCTGTCTTGCAAAGCAGATTTTTAGGTATTGTGAAAATGAATTTTAAAAAACCGGGTATTTTGCAAAATTCTATCAGTTTTATAAAATTTTTGAATTTTATAAATTTAACTCTTCAATCCACTGATGTGTTTCCTTTATTCTGTGTGCTCTGGTCTCCTTTTCTGTCTTGCTAGTATTTACACATAATGGGATTCACCAATGCCAGTTGCTAATATGACTTCTTCAAGGATTGCACTATATACAGTACTGACCAACCAGAGTTTATTAGTTCTGTCACATGTTTTCATCAGGGTATAATTAAGTAGATGGTGCACTAATGATTAATTGAACACAGAGCCAACAAGCCCTCATGCAGGTCACACTCTCCTGTGAGTGAATTATTCAGCTTTTGCCTTATGGCTTTTCACTGGATGGATATACAGCCTGCCAACATCAATTGTGTTATGATGGTGTGCATTTCCTACAGAATGCTTAAGAATTATAAGCAGATTGAAGCTTGGTGTTGTATACATTTTCACTTAAAAATCCAGCATCATGCATATAACACAACTTTTAAGAGACTATTGCAAATGTTTATTGGACCAAATTATTTACTACTCAGACCCGTGCCAACTATGAAGAAGGTACATGAAGGGAGAGCAATGGGTATGTTCCTTGAAGACCTAGACAGGCTTTCAGAACCTTCTCACACTTTATCTTGTATATAGCTTATAGAGACATTAATTCTGCCACCATAGGTGTATGGAATTACTTTGCTTTGAGCACATATTGTAGTTTCTTGTATTATTTAAGAGTCATCAAGTCTGAACATTTTTTACTTTCAGTTCATTTCTTCTACAGCTCTTTCTCAGCATGCTGCCCTAGATAATTAAAAGCAAGAGTTTATGATTCAGGCTCTTCTTGTTTTCTTTTTTGAATTCTCAGTTGTGTGTCAAAATCTGGATATGTAATTAACTTCAGTGTTAACTGAAGCAAAATTCACAAGGAAAGTAGGATAATCTTTGCAATGTGAGCACAAATAAATGAAAAGTCTTGGGCTTAGATTAAAGACAGGACTAAATATTGTTACCTTGAAATAGTAAAGTAAATTCAATAATAATAAGATCTTTTCTAGCAAAATCATAAATGCAATTTTTTGTGGTAGGGCGTTTTAATTTAATTTAATTTAATTTAATTTAATTTCATTTCATTTCATTTCATTTCATTTCAATTCCCCAGAGTATTCCACTGGATGAGTATTGTGTGCAGATTTGCTGATAGTGTCACATCAGAGCTAACACACTACCCTGAGACTGGACCACAGCTTCTGTGTAAAGAAGCTCCATTATTTTCAGTCCAGGTGGAGATTAGGGGATGGAATAAATCGCCATAGTGTTAACACCTCTGACAAGAACAGTCCTAGAAGACATTTCTAGCTGAAACAGGTCTTAGTCCCTTTGTTATGAATCATAAAGTGAGGCATTTCTTATTGGTCCATGTTAAAGTAATGGAGAAATGTCTCTGTAGTCAAATCAAAGGCAGGTGCAAGATGAGGTTTTCTGTGTTGTATTTTCAGTGAATCTCTGATATGTTTAGTGAGTTGATCACCTTAAGCTTCCTGAGGGAAACTATCTGGTTCCTCATGCCTAGTAGCTGTTCCTCAAAGAGCTTCAAGAAGTTTAATATCACTGTCATATACATCCAGCTCTTCCCCCCAGATGTATGTAGTTATCAGCTTTTTTCTCCATGCCTAGAGGTCTCAAAGACAATCTCAGTATGTTCTTTTCTCACAGCACAGCCCTATTTCTGGCTAACCAGCTTTCTAATCTGTACAGATGGAACAGCTGGGAGTTCCTTGGGTCATTGCTTCCACTCACAATACCTGAGAAAACACACTTTCACCACCAATGGAAGGAGAAAGTGGTAGGAATATCAAGAATGTACCCATGGTAACCTGAACTTGTACGGAAATTTTTTCCATTTTTCGGTGATTCTACAGGCTTTCTTCTATTCTTCGATTCCACCTGGTTTCACAGTGGTCTCACAAAGGCAGACTGTATGGCAAATCAAAAACTCAGGTGAGCCTAATTTCTTACCTGTGCTATTTTAAGAATAGACAACCTTCATGGCTCCTTTTGTCTTCTACTTTTGATATCCGGAGGAATTCTGAAGTGGGAAACTGCACGAAACAACATCAAAGTTGCAGAAAGGACTGAGGAGATGTGAGAGATGGGAGAACTGTGTTGTTTTAAATGGCACTTCTGTATTGGAAGCAGATGAGTATCTGGGTTTGAAAACAGTGTTGTTTAACTCTCCATGAAAAATGGAGAAATACAGTATTTGAATAAAAGCTATTTTTTAAGCACCTAAGCATTCTTTTTTGTTTTCCAGTAGAATATCAGAATTGAAGTAACATATTAGTCCAGATATACTTGGAAATTAATAAAAGGGCCTGCTTTGTAAAGATTAATGCAAAAGAATCTCTTAGAAAATGATGAAATAACTATTTTCTTTTAAATGTGTGAACTTCTGCACAAGAAACTGTCTTTTATTTAGCCTATATTTTCATAATAAAAGGCAAAAGGGGTAAGATAAATGGCAGGAATGCAGCTCCCAATTCAAACTGACCCTACAACCAGTTTTGATGAGCCTATTAAAGAAAACCAAAGACTGCTGTGTTACTTCTGAGGTTCATCTTTGCACTTTCTCTCACATGTTCAACTATTTTAAATTATACCATGTTCTTTTTCACTAGGGACAGAACACAGACAAAGAAAATTTTTTGGCAAGTCAGTGGAAGAAAAGCACATTTTAAAAATACCTCAAAAGGAAATGTATGTGGGGTAGAATACTTGGGCTCAGTTTATTCCAATACAAATTTAAACTGGAATTCTGACTTGAAGTATTGCTGTACTCACTGTTCATACTATATGGTCAGAAGATGATCAGATGTAGAAATTGGACTTTAATTTTGCTATAAACTTGGTTGTGATTTACCCAACCAAGCATTCATCATTATTAGCATCCATTCCATTCTAGTGTTCAGTATTTGAATCATAATATATACTTGTCACAATTTTATCTTTTCTGTTAGTAAAATTGACATATTTTTGAGAGGCTGAAGATAAAAACGAGGAATACTGAAGAGCAAATCCTAGAATGCACTTGTACACACAGTTTTGATGTGAAATATTTTTAAGGCAGCATCAATAAATACTTGATGTATGCATTATAAACACTAGAGTTTATTTTGGGGAATACTGATTTTTCTTTAAGATAAATTCTCTTTAATTGGGGTTTGCACAGTTCGTGGAAAGGAGGAAAATGTACGAAGTTTGATTATCGCCTTATTGCGATCCTTTAATTAAACAATTATTTAATAGCCCTAACACCAAATCGTCTTTCATTTATGTTTTTGCAGGTTGCTTTAGGCACAAAAAAAGAAAAAAAAA